AGATAAGGGGACGAGTGCGGGGATGTTTGATGCGAGGGAAGGAGTTGCGTTTGAGCATGATGTGGCTGTGTTGGGTCGTGCCGAACAAATCGATGTTGACGTTTTCCACCACCGCGCTGGCCACTTTCCCGAACCCATTTGGAGTATGACTGCCGAGCAACAAGGGAACACCCTTCCCAGGGATTGGGAACCCGGGAACACTGCCGCTTCGCCGCCCTCTGCCAACGCTGCCACTTGGCCTGCCGTCGCCGCCGCCACGGCGGGGACCATCACCGCTTCGCCGCCCGCTGCTGCCGCTGTACCGTGGGGACCCGCCACTGCCGACGCTACGTCATCGTCGCCGTCGCACACCGCTGGTGGCGCACCATGGAATGCAGCCGCCGCCACCGACGCACCGTCGCCGCTGCCGCCAACCTCCGGGACCGCGTTACCCGCCACTGTCACCGCGGCCGCGCCGTCGCCGCTGCCGCCGACCTCCGGGGCCGCCGTGCCGCTTGTGCCTTCGCCAGGTGCCACCGCGCTGCCGCGCCCGAGGACGACCGCGACGAGGACCACCGACGTGGCCGCCGCCGCTTCGTCATCGCCGCAGCATACCACCGCAGGTGGAACACGGATTCATCAAGCCGCCACCGCCGTGCCCGCGTCATCGCCGACATCGCCTTACTCGGGGCATGCATCGCCACAGGCGGACTGGTTGTCTTCTCCTATTGAGCCCGCTGCTCCATCTTCGACGGCGCGTGATGAACGGCAAGCCGATGGTTAGGAATGGGTTGGTGGGGGCCGGTGAGCTGGGGGGCGGCGAGCAGGGGGGCGATGGAGGACAATACGGTTGGGGGGGAGACGTGCAGGTGATCAAGAGAAAATAGGTGGGGGTCGATACCGGCGGAAATGATGGGTGGAGAATGCGTGGTCGGTCGACCCCGCGTGGCACGCATTGTATCCCCGGGTCTGCTCTTTGTCATGTGCGTTTCGTGTTTCGTTTTGTTTTTGTTTGCCTTTCTTTCTAGCAGCGAGATTTCTTCTTT